CCATGTCTGATAATGTCTCTAGCCATTGATGTGGCCCGTCTCGGGGTCCCCATCCAGGAAGACGACATTGACCAGCGCAGCTGAGTTTGCTGGTAATAGCTATCATACTTCGCTGCTAAGTCATTGTTTGGCCGCCTCTGGCTCTCTTCCACCCTTCACATGGTTGGGCGAAAAGAGCCCTTCGAGGAATTCGGTCGACTGGCATACGCAGCACGTGGCCAAGCCAGCGCAACCTGTGCAGTGTGATCAGTTCATCTATCGAGGGTGAGTAATTTCTCCCGAATACCATTCGACGTACTTCAGAATTACTGATCCGGTGTTCCCACCGGATTCGGGCAATGCTCCGAAGACATCGGAGCATGTTCCCTAGCAGAAAGCTATGCGTGTGTTTACACCGACGAATGAGTGAAACTTACCGATTATTTCTAAGCCGTAACGAATGAATCAATCCGTTTGTTCAACTCGTAGTTTTATGCTCAGCGTTTTTTACTCCGCCATTTCAGCGAAAACAACTCTTAAACTTTTCTCCGCGCTTAACCTGGTACTAAATACTGAACATAACAGTGCATATCCTACATTGGTCACTAAAAAAACATGACATTGGTCGTGCAATCCAGTATCCCACAACTGGTGCACGAAAAGGGTGTTACAGCCGAACGATCTACTAAGGTTATATGCGCTTTGGTGAAATTTCTCAAACGCCATGAGGCCTACGAATACACACTTAGCACGCGATCTCGTCGGACTTTTTAAATTCAGTTAGTCCACTCAACTGTACTGCGCAGCTTACAGAAAAGTTTGCTGAAGTAATCAACAGGATATGGAAGGTTAGTGAGCTCTTTGAAAGAGGTGACTGGGGCGTCACGAACCTAAGGACGTACAGGTCCTCATTATCTGATAGGATGAAATTATAGTAGACTTTCGACAAATCAACCAAAAAACAGACAGTTTCCGCAATACAGTCCTGTGCTGACAGCACGGAGTGGGTCCACGCTTGTTGGAAGTATTAAGCAGTTCCAGGTTCCAACATCAACCGTACTAGTGGTCTAGAGATAATCCCTGTGAATACCGCGTATACGGGTTTTCTCACATTTCGATTCCGTCCCATACTAGTCCGTGCACGATGAAATGAACGTCGAACTAAGTGCCGACTCACCACTCACAAGCTGAATTCAGTACCCGTCTATAAAGTTACGGTAGGGTTTAGCCCATTATGATGGGTCTCAATTACACACTAGTAAGACCTGCTTACTTACCTCAATGGCGGCATCGATGTCACGCTTATGTATTCCTACGGAAGCCCTCATGAGCATATGTTGCGGACGTTCGTGAACCTTGCCGTGCAGTTTGAAGAGGTAAGAGCGCTCTAAGGTCTAAAAGTAAGGGTAATAAGCATCAATAAACAGAATACATACCTTAAAACCGAAATAATTGTAGTTAAAATCACGTTGGTAGTCTATTGCCGAATTCAGTCGATCAGCGTTCTCCCGTATGATCTTGATAACTTCTTCACTCACTATGGGTGAGTGAAGCTTGGTGCGCTCATTAACGTAGCCATACAGGTCCTCCATGACTTCCGAAAAAGACGCTTTCGTGTTTTTATGCAAATTAGAAACAGCCAGGCGAGCGGCCGGGGTCCCGTAGGCATGGTGTCGTGTTGTCATACAGGCGCATACTTCAGCGGCCAAGTTGTCCAGTTCGGATGTCGTCACCCCAGGATACAATCCAGTGACTACTCGACGGGTGATTGCGGGCTAATGAAGGGAGACAGAAAAGGATAGTTAGTGCCAAATCACCTAGTTTCATTGGTTTAACTGAACAATAAGTCTGTGGCAATTTCTAGCAAGCGATTACCAACAAGCACGAGCGCATCCAAACAACAAACTTATCAAGAAAACAGCTGAATAAGAAATTCACATGTTACCCATCTCACAATTGGTGCCATTCTGCGGGGGTGGGCATAGAGAACAACATTCATCTCTGTAGACGATGATCCGGTATCCCGAACGCATATGAATAACCAAGTTATAGTGTTGCACATTTTCCGCAGTTGAACTAACTACAGTGTGGCCAAACATGTCTTCTAGTCTCAGTAATCTCCCTAAGATAGGTCACGCTCGCCCCCACTGAGTTCACTAGGGGCAGAGTTCAATGATCTATTGGAAAACAAGATAGAACACGTTTCATAGGTGGGATGGAAGTTTGAACAGAGTAACTCCTTTATGCAACCCAACACACAGGAGGTCTCTGAACTATTAAAAAGATGGTTTAACAGACCGAAAATAGTCCGAGACCAGAATTCCACCATTCTCATTCGATCCTGAGCCTACTTCAAAATTACGACGGATACTATCCAGTTTGAATCAATCATCGATCCGAGCATTATCGGAGGACATTTGTGCACTACCTTATGGTTCTAACAACGACTTAAATGTTGTTAGTGTAAATAGCTTATAACACTGAAGAATCAACGTCCCAGCAAAGGACAGAAGGAACAAGAGGATGCTTAATGCGAGGACGTCCAATGTTTTTGGGGGAAACCAATACGAAGACGCTCTAATTCTGGATAGCATTGAAATGAATACCACCGCTTCATTAACGGGACCGACTCAAGTCTGTTACACACCTTACCCCAGCGCACGACAACGCAAACGTCAACTAGACAGTCCGTAGGAGTGACCGCACGAACGCTACTGAAGTTAGTTAAGTGGCATGTTCCGCGAGGTTGCAGCGAGGCTGCTGCGAGGACGGATGAAACCGGTGAACATTTTGTCTAAGTTTATTTCAGCGCGGATAATTAGGAAACTCATTTTTGTCCAAGTGTACGGGAATAGCATATTGGGAATGTGCTTTCCTTATGCAAGCCATTGGGCTTGAAAATAGCTACGAATTCAAGGCGAGTGAAAGCGACTTGCATATCAAATATTTCACTAATAAAGTGAACGACAAGCTATCGAATGCACCTGCAGAAAGGAAAGGAAAGCATTCAGCTGTAGCACTCTTTCGGTGCCTAGCTGCCATGTTACCAGAAGGAAGCGCGAGGGCTGGGATACTGCTAGGTTACCGAAACCTAGACAGGGGAAGTCGCGATGCAGGGGTCGGGTTCGAACCACGATTCTTCTGATCAGTAAATTCGCGCTCTAACCACTGAGTCAACTCCCCCATCTGCTGAATGTGGAATTCATTACTGGAAGAGGTGAAATTTGGTAGAATAATTCAAACGGAAACTCGACTAATGTAGCACTTGTAAACTGCCAGTTTCCACGCTCAATATCATTCTCCCCCAATCGGTCATGTTAATGTAGTTTGTTTTGGTGAAAATAGAACACAACTGCCCGATTCTTCGGTTCAACGTGATTTTGTGACTTTTGCTGAGTGAGTGTTCTTGCGACTGTCGGTTGAATATCAATAGCTGATGCTAATTCGCCATGTGAGCAAAATTTTTGGCTACAAACACCGGATCCATCTATTCACATCGCTAGATTAATATTGCGATCACCGGGGGTCTGGAATACCAGGAAGTAGAACCTTCTCTTCTTGGTGTGGTGTTTCAAAGGAATAGGGACCTGCGAAATTTGCTTTTGCGAACTGTGAGTCAATATTTAAATGGATTCTTCTATTTGTGGCAGTATACCTGACTTAAGTGGAAAGTTTGTTCCGTTCACTAGAATTCTTAGGGCCGTTAACCACTACACTATCATGATTAATGGTTGCAAAATCTATGTGTGCAAAAGTGTATCACCAATCACAACGATTTGTCTGACCAACGAGTTGTCACCAGAGAAGTCGGTTCGTTCACTAGTCTGTCATGTCTGTTGAGCACGTGTATGCCTATGCTTTTATAACACCGTTACAGTGTTTGCGAAACAAGCCAACTTTTTCGAAATGTAGGGATAAGATCAATTCCACGTGAATCGCACATGTCTCACGGGATTTCATCAGCGCACGTATCAAAAGTATCATGCAGTACTCCACCTCTCGAAGAAACACCTTCGGAGGAGGCATCGGGGCTTCCTCGATTAGAATGGGCGACTGAAGAGGACCGTAGCCTCTGTTTTCCACACCGAGATAGTGCTGTGTTGAGAAAATAATTCGAAGATTCGGAGAAAACCTGCAACTGAACTTGTAAGTGAAGAAACCTGACTCGGTATGAAGACTCCGGTATCTGTTCAGCAATTACCATGTACTCTCCTGAGCTGTTCTAACAAGTAGAAATCTACAAACTACGGACTAGAAAGTCCTTCGTAACATCAACCTGGGGAACAGCAGCATTCAAAGTACTCAAAGATTCGACATCGTCTGTTCCAAATTGACATTGGATCACAAAGTGTTCGTTGTTACTTGTTCCTATAGGCTGACAATAATAATACCACATTATCACTAGTCGTAGATAGCAATATCAGTCTTAACAGCGATGCGTGGCTGTCGTGTAACAAGCTACCACGAGGAACAGATGATATTTTGGAGCCAAAAGAAAATCGAACGGTCCGTAGTTATAACTTCTACTGAGACGGCTTGCGGAAACGGCTAAGGTTATTTAAGACTTAGTAGGAAGTTACAGGTGGTTCGAAAGACAATTGTGTCGAGAAAACCATTTTCCACTCATGCGAACACACAGAAACGTATACGATTCACCTCCGTTTGTACTCGGAAACACTGTGACTGTGACAATTCAAACTAACCTTGCCAAGATCATTACAAGTGGAAGACTGATGGATGATCGAGAAAATCGGTGCAAGAAACGCCAAAGATTCTGTATTTGCACTGTTGAGCCTCTGATGATTACCAACTGGAAATTTATTCCGCATTAGCCAAGCCTACCAATATTAGATCAACAGGTGGGTTGTGCCTACCTGATGAAAAGAAAGAAAGCGTTCAGCTGTAGCACCCTCCCGATGCCTAGCTGCCATGCCACCCGAAGGAAGCACGAGGGCTGGGATACTGCCGGGTTGCCCAAGCCTAGACAGGGGAAGTCGAGTGGCGGAGGTCGGATTCGAACCACGGACCTTCCGGTCAGTAAATTCGCGCTCTAACCACTTGGGCCATCTCGCCCCCTGATGAACCCAAGGGCGAAACCAGTTGTACGTTTTCTCTAACCTTATGAGTATTACGCGCTTTCTAGCTTCAACATATAGTTGGACTGCATGAGTAATTCAAGCGCAGTTCCACGGAGACAGGATTCCACTATGTAAACGACTGCTCTCATATTACCCAACTTAATGCCTACGCTTGTGGTTAAACATTGCTCCATCCTGGGAGAGATGGCTTGGTAGTTAGAGCGCGAATTTACAGATCAGAAGAATCGTGGCATCGCGACTTCCCCTGTCCAGGCTTGGGTAGCTTGGCAGTATCCCAGCCCGCCCTCCTTCTTCCGGTGACATGGCAGCTAGGCACTGTTACAGCTAAACGATTATTTCTAACTACACACTCCAATATCATAACGAACTTCATAGAGAAAGCCATTTAGCTGTGGTTTATAGGAGTGCTTGATCGAACTCCTGGAAACCGAAAACGTCAACCAGATGAGACCGTTTTGAGGCAGACGGTCACAAATAAAAATGTATGTATTTGCTTCGTTTCTTATTGTCCGATTATCTCGTTATCCTTTGATAATGCCGCATGCTGTCGTAAGCACAACACGGTTGCTAATTATAAACCACATTCGGCTATCCTTTGGATGTTGTGAGATTGAATAGCGTCAGACGCAGTCAGTTGGCCGGTACATATGCCTACCTCAGTGAACGCCAGTCTCGTCCGACTGCAACAGGTCTCGGGAAAAGCAACCTATGCTGTGACAAAATATTCCGGGTTGCCATCCCTAGAGATCGTGGCCAGTGGTGGTAAGCGTAATATCGCACCTCTGTTTGTCGGCCTTGACCACCGATGGTGGTGTTTACCGGAGATTTCGAGAAATAATTGCCAGTGGACCTAGCGCGGGCTTGGCTTTTATGGTGATAACCATGGCTTTTTAAAAGTGTATGAGAAGCCTGGCATCACAAAAAATGCGAATCAGAATACAGCGCGCGACTCACGATATCGATGCACGATTCATCCAGACCGTAACATAGGGCGCGGATACGTTTGCTGATTTTCTCACAGTGAACACCCTCCGTTCGGCCATCTGTTGACAGTCATTTATTTACCGCCTGTATAGCTTACCTCTTTTAAGGACATATATTTTGTCGATTCCAGAAAACTCCCTCAATAGTTTATGTTCCGACATACCAACTCAGACACCAAGGGGACGGTGTGACACTCGAATTTCGAATGTGTCACATAGCCTTGCAGGTCTTAAAAGTTGGCCTAGTGTATACGTGGGGCAAAAGGCGAGGTGCTCCTGAGCTCCCAACAAAAAACAGCGGTATAAGACTTTAGACCCGAACATCTATGTAGGTTTTCAGTGAACGCGCTACAAAAGTCGCAGTGGCGCTGGTTTTAAAAATAAACTCACGTTTGCTGGCTATCTCAACCAATCTGGAGTTAACTTCGCTGAAACTAAGGGGGTTTTGAAGTGTGGGGTTCCACAGTGGGTTATTCCAGTTCAAGTGGCGTGTTGTTCCTTGCTGTATTTTTAGGTGAGCAAAGTTTCAAGCACGACAAATCCACATACAAACACCGTTTTGCCAAAAGGGAGTGAATTTGGTGCCCTTAAAATTGGACATGGCTTTTACGTATTTTCCAATACAAAATCGCCCGATTGAATAGCTGAATAGCTTTTGGATCGGTCTTGCTTTTATGATGTAAAAATTGAAGGAATTCGTTACAGAAGTTGGGCACGTCGCGGTTGATTCCGACCCTCAGCTTGCGCGACTGCAAAATAAGAGGGATCAAGGTCTACACTGATTTGGCGATGTCGGGATTAGGGGAGCATATGCACCGCTGAACGCAGAATTCGAATCTGAGCTCAAGTCAGTCGTAAGAATCAACCTAATATATTTTGACACGTGCTCACGAACTGGGCTTCAACAGGGGACTATGATCCCCCTGTTCTATTTTCGTGAGACCTGATTAGCAGGATTTGAAGACCCCGTTCGCCTCCAAACATCTTCCCATCGATTTCGGGACTCTGGGTGCCGAATTTGATTCATTGGGGGAACAAATTGAACTACGGAAGACGCTGGAGACTTTCGTGAGTGGAGTCTACTTTAATTCCAGCACGTTTCAGTTACATATTCGGTACTGTGGCATCTGTGTTAGGTCTCATTTGTAGCAGTTTTCAGCAAGTAGACACGTAAGAAATGCTCTTTGCCGCGATCCGTTTGGCTTCTACTACTAGCCCTCTGGATGTTGAGCGATCTTGCAGAATGAAATTCAAACCAGTGCGCTCGCTGCCTCACTAACACGTCAGGATAGCTGTACAGTCCATCGATAGGCCCTGAAAAGAGCCGAAAAAACATTTACTCATTCAGAAATCAAGTGTCGCCGCCCCTGGACTCGAATGCAGATATCTGCTGATGTGTTGACTATGCGAGAACATTCGTGGTACTGCGTCAAATCTAACTGTCGATAACATCAAGCCCGTCACGTTGCAGCGGCTGAATTGCTTGCACTTCACTTGTGGTATGCGCGCGCCAGTGAGATTGGAAATCTTGCTTACGTCACGTGACATCGTGCGGTAATCTGGAGGGAATCAGAGCTGTCCCTTTCGAGTTTCTCGGCGGTCAGCGTGGTAAGTTGTCTGTGTATCATACTCTCTTAAGTCAAATGCTGGGCCGAAAAAACCTTCAGTATTGTGTGTTCCGTGCTATCGGCGTAGTGCACAAGCCTTTTCGGATGCCAGGTTATGTTTTCAAGACTGTTATTAAACAAATTTTCAATGTGTGTCAAAGCATGTTGCTCACGGATGGTCAACTTGCGAGTGACATTCACACTGTGGGCATTAAGCTGGGACAAAGCCGGAGGCAGTTTCCAGCAGAATCTCCGAATCATGGGAAATCTACGTGGCTATTATCCTATGAACAGTTACATAATCGGCTGTGTTAGCTAGCGGCCGCACAATGGAGTTTGTCGACAGCGGTCGGTGACGTTGTGCAGGAGATGCGAAGCGTTTTTTAACTACGTGCCCCCTGATTGTTTGGCGAAATTTAGAATAGCATGACAATGTGTCGAAACGGGATAACTTTGGTGGACGGCATTTCTGATGCCAATTTATCCGCCGCTTATCTTCTAATGCAGTATTATCCATCTATCATATCCTTGCACGAGCTAAAAGGATTACATACTGGAATAACCATTCGCTTTGAACCAGGTCTTACACCAACGGCAGAGTGATATCTGTCAAAAGACAAGTGTAAAAGCTCGTTCCTACAAAGAAATGCCGGGATACTCTGAGAGAATTCGCCCAAGATGATTCGAGGCGTGCACGGCAATAACGTCACCGATACCTAAGGGACCTCAAATTCGCTTTTCGTGCGCGAAGAAGACATATGTAGCTAAAGCGAGCACACTCAGTTTTCATCACGACTACTCTACATTATATCTAGAACCAACGGGATTTCGTCCTCTTGGGTAAACGAAATGCATGTTTCAATCTGTTTAAAAATGGCGTTGGGCGTTTAGCGCCGGGGTTGTGGAAGTGGTGGATACAAAGCGCTTACCCCAGTTTGTCCACACGGTACTTAAAAATATTTGATCACGGATTCTTGTAACTCGGCAGACCATTACACACTTAAATCGTCGCATGTCCGTCGCTGTTCGGCGAGGGGCCCATCAAGAAAAAAGTTGCAGGTAGGTCAGTAGTGCTCTGGGCCGTAGGACGCACAATCAAAATGTCATTACGGCGATGAATAAAGAAATCTTTGCACTCTTGTAGTTGTTCGTTTTGTCACTTGATGTCTACCGATCTCACTATCCACGACGAACGTCTCAGTTTCCTCCACGGAACATCTGCTGCGATGAACAAAAGCAGCCACGTACAAAGAGCGCAGGTGATTAGTTTTTGGGTTCGCCTGGGCAAAACGAAGTGGTTTGTTTACGTTTTCTTTGAAATTAATTAGAAAATGCAACGGAGAAAAATTTAGAGAAACTGGTTTGTCAAAGGCATCTTCCATTGTTATCACAAACCAGTCACCCTGAGCCGTCGCAGGCAATATATATAAATGACTTCCGTACCCAAAGTATGTGGTTATTAGGTTAAAGCAGAGTTTTACGACAACTGTGACTATATAAGGAGATTTGAACGACTTGAATAATTGCCCCGACTTTTGCAGTCCTGGGTGGAAATCGCTTTTCCTTGAACAGCATTTTCAAGGATGCATTTTTAATTGCGTATGAGAACCGTCATAGAGTTTACAATCATGGTAAGATCCCAACCGGCATGCACAGTCCTCTCCGAAATCGTAATGTACAAAAGGAGCGCTTTTGCGTTGAAGTCATTCATTTTTTTTGCAGATGAGGTCAAAATGACCGAAATTAAAAGATATTTAAATGTTGTGGTAATGAACTGCGGTTTTGCTTTTAGCATGCATTTTACTTTGAATAGTGCTATTTACTGTGGCTAAATTTCAAGAGAAATCGCTGTGAAGTAATTGATCATCATCATTCATAGCCCGCAAGATGAAGAACTATAGGATATTTTCGCGCCTCCCATTATTAAAAGCAATAGATGTAGCATGTGGCGACCAGTCTGACTTTGCCAAAGTAAGCACCAATAAATATTCCCAGCACTTTTTCCGTATTTAGTCCGCAGATGTACAGTGAACAAGTCTTTGTAATACGACCAGTCCAAGTGGGTTCCAATAAGCGTGCACTACATAGCATATATACACGACTGCCCTGAAATTTTCGGCCCGACGTTTTGGATACTGACTCTCTGGATTCTTTGTCACAGAAAAAAGCCGATTGTCTCCGGAACATCTTCATACGACAGTGTTATAATCGCAATGCGGCCACATGTGCCTAGTCAGATTTGGTGAACCACTATTGTGAAGCACCCCTAACGTCATAAATATCGATGCAACAAATTCAACTGGAGGTTTTGAAAAAGTTTTAGAAGCAACCGATCTATGCAAGTAGAAAATATACACCTCACTAAGCGCATGTAGATTGGGTAGTGACTAGTCGGTCATGTCTGCTCTTGTAGCAATGGAGTATTTCAACCTTGGCCGTATACTGTTTTGCTTACCTAGGTGTATATTGCGGGGCAGCATCGGATGAAAAAACTAATGGTGTAAAAATGGCGGCGCGATGCAAGCGGCGAGAGCCACGCTAAGCCGTGATCCCACGTTTCGCGTTTCCGTTTGTGTGAGGCTATCACGAGCAGATGTTTTGCTACGTGATATCCTCTTTTGTCATCGTCCACATGGTCCATCAACGGTCATCAAGAATTTCACCACACGGGTAGCCTGTACAGCCCTCGTCAAACAATTCTATCTCAATACCCTAGTAGCTGCTTCATGTGCCGCTACACATGGAGAAACGATTAATCTCCCACCACGCGGCTAAATGTTCGGTTTTCACCTGAAGATGTGTTGATGACGCTCGGTCCACGACAACCCTATCTGGTCCAGAGGCCACCAGCCATTTGCAGAATAATAATAATGTATATTGCCAACTGGTGGATGGCATACCGTCAGGAATGAGCATAACATTCCAGCAGAAAAAAGCCTGGCTGGCGGGGTATGTGGGTGCACTGGATTACCTGGAAAAGGGGCAGCATCAAAAACAATTGTCATTATACTATGTAAACGTGGTCACCAATAAACCGCCATGGACAAGGAAGCACATTTACAACCGATTTTTTGGAGGAAACATCGGGAAAGATCAGCTCGTTACGATTTTAAGATAGCGAGCAAAAGCAAAACGAAGGGGGAGAAAGCAAGAGACATCGTGCCTGACTAGAAATGGGCGAATTGCGGATAACGGGGAACCGAAAAATGGGATCTAGTGAAACGGCATAGTTGATACTGTCCAGCCGATCAATCTGAACTAAAACCTAAAAGTATTGCTGAGGCTTTGTGATCCTGGAAAGTTGGGCTTCTGGCCCACTCACAAAAGGCGTGAGTGGGGATGCCGACGTCGAGGGATTAGCAATGCGCATAAATGGTAGCAAGAATCTCAGAATCATGGTGCATAGTACTGTACAGTGCTGTAGAGATTTACTGGTATTGCTGTTGTAATGGAGTCGGGTATAAAAGTTCATTGGAAGAGTGAATTCGTGACAACACATGGGCCAGAAAGCGTACTGTGCAGAGAACTGTTGGCTCAGTGGGAAGCACCAACTGA